ATCATATTATGACTCCTGTGCTACAATGGTGATGGGCTTTGACTACTCAGGCTTCAACTTCACAACGATAGCTAAAAACTGTTCCATGGTTGATTACGGTGCCTGCAATGAGAGTTACATTTGCAGTCTCGTGAACAGTTCAGTGGCCCCTGATGGAATCCTGACTGAGTGTTCAGTGAGCTGTTGCCAGGACGATCTGTGCAATGGGCCAGGTATTTACTCAGGGGGATGGGGACGGGTGGAGGGGGTTTGAGGTGGAGACTCCCACGATAACATTAAAGGTGATTTCAAAGAGCCCTGAAGGATACCAGGGCCTCGTTTTTAGGGTGAGGTAAAGCATTTTTACGCTGAAAAATACCAGTAGTCGATTCGTAGGACTGACCATTGGTCTAATTTCATACTTTCCCGGTAACACATAATTTCCCGTCACAGAAACACTGAACATGCTGTACAAAGGTTTTTTTTTCAGGATAGGTAACAAAATGAATCTTGATTATCCAACTGCAATTCTATGATGATGATAAGAAATTTGAACGATATCACATGGAAAATTGCAATTGTATTGATGCTTCAAATAATACTTGAATCAAATAAAGGAACCTTTTAAACTGCCGTGATTGATTGAGAACTCGAAACATCGACTGTTTTAAAAATTTGATGAAAAAAAAGGCAAAAACTATTAACTGCCCAGTTTATGACCTGGAATAACTTCTTCCACAGCCGGACCAGGACCAGAACCAACAGTTGGGCCAGAGCCTCCCGCTCCTGGACCAGACACTAAGAGGTATTTTGCTGGGTACCTTGTCTCTAAACATCTTGGATCTTCATAGAGTAGCAAAAATATGCTGAGACAGAAGGATTTGGCTGGATAATAACCTTTTCCTTAAACTAACCCTGTTCCTAAGCTATGCGGCTTTTATTTGTCTTATTTTTTCTGGAACTACTTAACTCACAAAAAACATATTTTTCTTAGTTTGAATCGTTGTCTTTGTACTGTTTACAGTATGAATATTTTTAAACAGTTTTCACCTAATCTGTAGGGTCTCTACAGGCTCTCTTTACTTCTCACAAACCAAAGATTCCATTTCTCCATGCTGTTTTCAAAACACGCTACTCCGCGAAACACCCATCTATTTAAATTAAATGAATGAGTAAAGTGGTCAAGATAAAATTGAAAATTCTTGGGCAAGTTATTTCAATACATTTTCAAGTGGCGAACGTATAGAGAAGTCTATGGTTATCAACGTTATATTAAACTTGTAATCGTCGTTCTCATTTCAGTCGTTTACAGTACTACATTAAAACCATACGCGCCATGCTAGATCAGGTATGAATCAGTCTTGAGGACCTAAAACAACGCCTTCGTATATTTCAATAAGAAAATTATGGTGGGGAAGAGTCTTGACAAAATGCTGGGGATAGAGGATGGCTTAATGCATTCTATACCACTTCTTTAAGCATTTCGACTTCCTTCTTAAAGTTTGGCTATTTGAGACAATACAATTCAGAACATGAAATAGAAGCAAATGAGTTGATTATCCCCAAGAGATACACATAACAATTCAGTCTGTTTGTTCGTCTGTTGTTTTAGATGGAAAGTATCGTGGAGAACGAAGTCGGAGGCAATAGGCTAAAAAGGGAATTCAAAGGTACTAATTTGAAATTTAAGGTTTGCAATAATCTTAAGTCTCGTGAAATCCCCTTAAGTAAGATCCTATAATCTATGCAATTCTCTATATCTCGTTTCAAAAATCTATTTAAAAAATCTTTTTCTTTATTCCAAAATGTCTGCCTAAAGAATAGTTTCGTTAACCTACAGAACGTATGCGAAGATCTCTCACAGATGTGCAACCGGCATGGGATAGTGAAGGAGGAAAGCTCGACGCTTTCGTTAATCAGCTGAAAAACAATGCTGCAGTGGCCATGAGAACACTCCAAGCTAAGCAAGGTATTCAATCAATGGCTTTCTATCTGGTTGTTTTAAAGGGGCCGGGTGATAATGAAGGCACTGAAGCCTTTGAAAGTACCGATAACAACAGGGGTTGCGATTATAGCTTTTTCCTCTTATTCTTCTCGTGGATCCAGCGCTCAAAAGTCTCACAACACAGCCAGCTACACGTGCTAGGGAATGTATACGTCCACTAGTGACGAGTTCCAAGCATGGGCTCCTCTGTCTCGAAAGATCTTTCCTAATTTGATCCAAGTTTTCATTCTTTTTTTTTCTGGTACGATAAAATTAAATTTCAGATCGATTCAAAAGACGTGCTGAGATGAAACTGCCGCAACAGAAACGAAAAGCCAAAAGAAACCAATTTCTGAATGAAGCCATGAAAACTATCCAAGAAACATTTTCAAAGTTGTCTGCGAAAAATCGCTAAATGGGTGAGTAGTAGAGCTCACGAACAGAAACACAAAGACAGAAAAAAAAAAAGAAAAAAAGAGGAGAAGAGGAAAGAAATAGACGACAACTAAGCACAGAGTATTAGTCACATTTTTCTCTTTGCAGAAAGAGAGTTTTTGCTCAATTCAAAGAGGATGGGAAAAAATTTATACTATGCACTATTTTATAGATGTATCCACCATAACTTAGGGCGAACTCATAAGCTGTAAGGATGCGTACAGCACAACATGCTGAGTCAAATATTTATGGTCATGAGGATAGGGAGGAAAAGGAATTGATTATTAAACAAATTCTCCTTGTCAGTACCAAAGGAAATGTTTAAGGGGCTGTATGGAGAAACACATGTTGATGTAAAGGTGTAAAAGAAACTGAAATTGTTCTGATACTCCTTGTTCACTACCCACGGGCAAATTTAGAAGCAAATGATTCATGTTCTTTCTTTTCAACCAGAAAACAAGATAAAGAACGCCTATATCTGCAAATGTGGAAATGATGCAGGCAGAAAAATAATGATTTACTGGAATAATTCATTTATTTAGTACGGGATAGTAAAATGTTCAATGAAGCAGAATGAATAAAGTGTGGGAAATCTCATGTTTTGTAGTTTTAGTCGATGCATTTATGTATCTAAAACAAGCTTAAAAATAGTCTGTCATCGTGCCTCAGTAGTGTTAGACAATACACTAAATAAACAGCTCCTTTCCAAAGATTGATCCGAACTTAAACTGCCCCAATCCTACTCTCTATCAAATAGTGCCCTTGTCTCCGTTGTACCTTTCAAATAGAAAATGAAATAGCTATAAAAACGCAACATAAGCTACCTGGGGTGCATCAACTTTACTTCACATCACTTTACGATTGATTTAGAACACGTGCTCGACTTTATCAACCAACGAGATGTTATGCTGAACCCAAATGATGCGTAGTTTTTCCAACGCTTCAGGAACTTTTATTTTTTTTACTAAGGGTTTTCAGTGGCTCATTGTTATAATTCCTTCGTTTTGATTGGCCTTTGTAATTGTTTTACAACCATTAATCGAAATGAGCTCTGAGACAAAGAGAATCTAGTTCATAACAAAGTGATACTCCTGGCTCCCAATGTACGAAAAGTGGATAACGCTATCCACTGGATAAATCTCTATCCAGTGTATAGTGCAGCATGTTTTGCTAGCACTTCTATCTACGTTATCTGCCCTTTGAACAACTGGGGACAGATTTGCAATACGAAACCTATGTTGGCATTTTGGGCAAATCACGTTCCTGATTATTCATCGCCGTATCAATAAATGCGTCATAGCGTGCAATATCCTCTTTCGAAGTTTAAGCTCATAAGATCAATGAAATATTTATTTCTACAAGATTTAAATCTCTGGAAATTATCAATTCAAAGAAAGCATTCACATAATTTTTTAAACCGTCGGCAGCTGTTTCAAGTAACGTGAAGAAAGACAGTTCTCAAAACATCATCAATCCCATATAAACCTGCACTCGCTTCCGTGCATTCTCCCATATGTCCAAATTCGTATATGAAATATGTGGGTCCACAGCAAAACATGTATTAACAGAGACGAAAAAAAGGGGAAAAAACCTAATTTGAAATGATGGACTTTCCTTGTCGGGTACTGGAATAAGTATAATAATAGTAATAATAAATATAATTGATTAAGTATAACTGATGAACGTCGACCTTAGAAGAAAATGTGTATTTACTCGTCATCACAAAATGCCACTTTCAAGTCTTATTAAGTGTTATAAAAATAGCCAAAATTTCACAATTGGTGGGTGTTGTCATAAACATGTTCACTTTTAATTTAACATGGTACAACGGGCAGGGCAAATAATCGGTCACATTTGTATGCTCAGCTCTAATCTAAGTCAAAGAGAATTCCTATTCTTTTTAAAAGCTTTAAAAATCTTGCCTCTAAAGTTGAAAAGTTATCATGGTTTTTTATCAAATCAATGAAGTATATATTCTAAAAGAGAACAGAGATTCCCTGAGGAAAAGGTTCAAATCCAGAGTTTTGTAGTGTCCTTCAAATATTATGCGCATCGCTTAATTAAAGTTTTTTCTTTTCTGTTTGACTAATGTTACATCGAATCAGGAACCATTCTGCTTATTTACTCTCTGTGCGAAATTAAAATTGTCTTCTTACTTCCCTCAACAATTTACTCACTGAACGTCCCGAGAACGTAAACAAACCATATTTTAATTAATGCCGTGAAAATTAAGTTTATCTTTCGTTGTAGCAATTAAAGCATTCATGAAGCATTGCTAGGCACCTTTTTTCGCTCACATGAAGCTTCAATGTCAATGCTTGCAAACGTATAAAAAAGTCTAACGCATCTAACTAGGATTTAAAGTTTTCTGTTTTATTATCAAAGTAATAAAAAATTCTCATTTCTTCAGTTATTTTCCCGCATCAGTAGAAACACTTTGTTTGCGTCGGAATTTTCTTTAACTTCGACAAATTAACTGACGAGAAGGAGCGTAATTAATTAAAAATAGCTTTGCATTTTGCAATTACATTCCAAAAAGGAAAAAAAAACAACAATCACAATATAAATTGACCTATTCTAAATTAAACATCATTTGAGTCTCTACTCTGGAGCAAATCAGTCCTCGGAATTTAGCGCGCTTCAGAAGATGTCAGCACCTTTGGTAAGTAAATGATCACCAACCCTTTTTGACTTTGGCTTCTAAATACACGCTTTGGCCACTGGAGGTCTGGTTACTAACGAAAAGGAGCATACTAGAAACTGAAAACCGCCTAAAATTTTCAGAAAAGGCGTATTAACCCTTTAACTCCCAGATCAAATTTGTAACTCTCCTTACTGTCAACTATACAATTTTTATAATGTTAGTTCAGAGAATTTAGTATTAGATCAACTTATTATCCTCAAATAGATATTTTTCTTTGTTCTCATCACTTATCTATTTGATATTGTATTGATACCGTAAGGAGAAATTCTGTCTTGGTCACTCATGAGAGTTAAAGAGTTAATAATCGATCAAACCCTAAAAAACCACCGGAAATCATGATTTCAATCTAGAATGAAACAGTGAGGGCACGGAGTTGGACAAGTCAATAACAAGACCGTGACACCGCTTTTAACGAATGTCGAAAGCGGCAAAAAGGAGAGCAGAGGAGTGGAAAGAAAGCGGCAATGAATATGACCAAAATTGGAAGCCGAAAAACCCCGTGCCTTTAAATTGCTCTACAGCTAAGCCCCACGAAAATATTTGCCATTCACGTTGGAAAATTGGAATGTAACTTAAAAAGGTAAAATGATTAAAAGAACTGAGCGGAGTTATTCTAAATTGATTCATTTTTCAGATCTTGTGGTGTGTGATTGCTCTCTTTGCTAATGTTCCAACAGCATTTAGCAGTAAGTTATGAGTCTGTTCATATATTTACTTTTCATTCATTTACAATCACTATGTAAAGCCGCTTTCAGTTAAAAGATGTCGAAACACCAAAATAAATATGATCAAAACGGCAAATTAGAGCCAAGCTTAACATCGTCAGTAGCTAATAGGAACTCAGGGTAAAAAAAGCAAAAGTGCAGGGATATACGTGACTGGCACCAGTTGTTTAGAACAATCAAAGAGCAAAGTTAAGCGAAACCAAAGAGATTCAGGATTACTTTCCTTACGCAATCGACAAATTGCTCTCCAGTTTAAATACCTCTCGATAATATTTGAAATACTGTAAAAAATCTTTTTTAAAAAAGGTTCTTAGAAGCTTTGATCTATGGGCAATATGTTTGGAATATGATAACGATTAACATTATTAATATCATTACTATTATTATTATTAAATATGAAGTTAGACAATTTCTCATTTTCTACGGAACCTGACTTTTGAAAAATACGTCCATAGGACCTCGGCATATTGGAAAGCCTGTTTCCGAAGTAAAAGCGGATGAAGTACAAAAAAGGCAGTCAGGTGAGATGTACAGTGAAGCTTTTATCTAAAAAAATACTGTGGCAAACAAGTTCAAGACAAATTGTATAAACTTGCTCCATATGACTGACATGCTATCTTAAGCTTGCGTTATTAAAAGACTATTTAACATTGATAATTGCGTTTTTACAGAATGCGGGAATGTGACGAATAATGAACTGAAAAGTCCCAGGTACCCGAGTAACTACCCAAATAGCATAGATTGCGTTTACTGGGTCGTCATTCCTGCTGGCAAGACAATGAACATCTACTTTAATGACTTCCATCTCGAATATCACTCCATATGTAGGTAAGTGGGATGTGAAAGTAAAACGATGCAAAAATAAAGTATTTCATTAGAACTTCTTATAAATCTCCCATACAAACTTGACAATCGTTACCTCATTTATTTCCATCTCAATATTCAGTCCTATTCCATTCCTAGGAGTGACCAAAAAGGTATTTCTCTTTGATATAAACACTTTTCCCAGCTGAAAGGTGTTAAGAAAGAAATCTATCTCATGGAGATGTTTATTGATTTAACATCTGTTTTTCCTAAAAATTTCACCCCTTTATACATTAAGGTCACAAGAATAAAAGAAACGATGACCAACTCGAGAAGCCCTTGATGATTTTAAAAACTCTCCTTTTCAGTACCTCAGGAAATGTATGGAGAAAAGTATGGCAAAATGACTGTAAGGTGGAAAGGGTAAAGGATGATTGAAAATAAAGATAAAATTTCCTACTTTTTTAACGAAAACCCCATGAACAAGTCCTATTTGCATATAAATATTGTCTACCACAATATTTGCCAATGGAGGTAACATGTCTAAAATAATTGTTCATCCATTTTGAAAATTACCTGACTATTATTACTCAGGTCAGGATCTCATAATAGTCCACTTTGCTCAGGTCAAACGTGACAGAGAAATTTGATTTAATCTTCTACATAACAGCTATGACTATTTGAAGATTGCAAACGAAAAAGATGAGACATTTGGTGGGCGCAATGGAAAGTACTGTGGTCTTCAATATGGAAACGTCAGTGTCACTGGTCAATACGCTGTGTTAACATTTCATTCAGACAGCATCTTCTCACGTAGAGGATACAACTTGACATTCACTTTTGCCCCTGTCGGCTGTAAGTACTGTGACATTTTGTTTTCATATGGGTCTTTACTTCAACCTTCTTAGAGATAAGATATTGCAAAAAGAAAAGAAATATGGTTAAGGATGATGGAGATCAAGCTGAATTGTAAATTAAGGAACTCCAAAAAATCGAGGCTGTCTTTCTCCAGATGCAAAAAAAGTGTGTGCTGACTAAGCCCTTTCTTTGGCTGTTCTCGTATCACTGAACTCCGGTGAGTTTCCACTACTCGGCGTGAGTTATAGGAGTACTGGGTACTCTCAATCTATAACGATTCCATGGGTGGACCTTAATGTAGTGATCTCATTTCACTTTGCAGCAAATGGTACCCAGTCTCCGCCCACTTACCCTCCAAGTAAGTAGTACTGTGTTATACATCAATTTCAAATGGAATTATGTTACTGATTATTCAAAATCAAAATTTGGAAATAAAACACATTATGTGGTAGACAAACCCTAGTGAGGTAATTGTGCTTGAAAGGGAAAAAAGAAGGAATATAGTGGAGAGGATCAATTTAGAAGATTAATGTATATTCCCAGAAAAACCATGAAATAAAGTTCACCGATAATTCATCAAACCCTGTCTCTTCCTTAGAAGACAAGTGATTCAATTTGGTTCATCTTGTATCAATCAACTCCAGTGATTTCCCATAGGATGTAGTGGCTTAGCAGTTATAATAGCTCATTACAAGAAGTCATTACAGCATTAAGCAACTTCATGAATGTAATGTATTAAAGTGGTGTGGTTTGTTTTCACCTCTTCCGGGACTCGTACCCCTTATACTCCCACATACCCTCCAACATCAGCAAACCATCCATGTAAGTAGCACTGACTTATCCATCAATCTCAGTTGATATCTTTCAAATATCAAGAACAACTTTTTTATGTAAATTGTAACATTGATTTTAACAAAACACAATCTAATGAGTCAATCTACACTGTGAAGTAGATTTCAACTGAGAGTGAAATGTTATTTAAGATTGCATTGGGTTTGCTTTACTTCACTCTGTGATTGGTTAAGAACAGTCACACTACCCCCTTAAACGCTAAACCAATAATAACTTAACTTATGGAATTTTTCTCTTTCCTTTGTAACTTCTATTTAATTCACCGTTGGCCTCTTGTAATATTATCATTGTTTTCCATAGTTGCATTCGTTTTTCAATTCAGTAGGTACCCAAGGTCCACAAACAGTGTACCCAACAAATCCTCCTTGGTATACCACAGCACCACCAAACGGTAAGAAGACCAAAGTACTACAATATTTGAATTAGTTCGTTGAATAATGTAAAATTCCATTGAGTCAGTATTTTCTCTTTCCCTTTATAACAGTTGGCCTCTTGTAATATTATCATTGCTTTCCATTGTTGTGTTTGCTTTCAATTCCACAGGTACCCAGGGTCCACAAACAGTGTACCCAACAAATCCTCCATGGTATACCACAGCACCACCAAACGGTAAGAAGTCCAAAGTACTAAAGAACTTAATTTAATTTCTTGGATGTTGTAAACTTCATTTGTGTCGATATTTTTCTTTAAATAATCCTTCTACTTTTATTATACAGTTGGTTGTGGTTACGTGCAAGGTTATCAGCTCACAAGTCCCGGATATCCAAACAATTATCCGAATGGGATAGACTGTGAGTACTGGGTCTACATTCCTTATGGCAAGGCGTTAAGAATTTACTTCAATGAATTTCAAGTTGAGTTCCATTCAAGTTGCAGGTAAATGAGTTGTGAAACAAACAGGTTTCAAAATTACCGCGTAATGCATCAGTACTACATATACTGATCTTCTGTAGGAACATGACAAGTGATACTTGACTTGGATGGGGAGGGAGGTGGGGAGGGAGGTGGGGTGGGGGTTGTGGCTGGTGGGAATTAGAAAGCAAGGAAGATGTACTGCACCCTGACCGAAGGCTGTTAGAATAGAGTATGGTTTATGACGGTCCCAATGGAATACTTAGAGAAATGATTACCATACAAAGCATACTCGCTGGTGCATTTTATGATCAAATCCAGTACCAAGCTCTACTGCGATTCTATCTTTAACTATTAGATTATGGGCTCGAGATTTCTATCGCATAGTTGCTGATAAGGGAAAAGCCCAAATCAACTACTTCTTTTGGCAATCGAGAGAGAATAATGTAATTATTTTGGTATAAATCTGCAAGTAATTCAATCCTTAACAAGATAGGTTCATATTATTTTTCTGTCTAGTTTAGAACCGTTCACTGAAAGGTCTTTCACTCAATTCACTGTCTATCACCAAATAGGAAAATATCTATCTCAGAATAGAAAGCGAATAGCACAGCCAATCAGGTTGCAGCATCTGTGAAAGAACGCAAGTAGATTAAAACGAAAAGGAAATAAAAATAATTGATGAATAGTGTAGTGTTTGTTCCTATATTTGGATAAATACCGTAGCCATTAGATATCTTTATTTCATTGGTTAGCACACCCTTGACCGCAGTCATGTGATTATCCATATATATTTGCTAATAAATATTGTCCACCACTTCACTTTAACTGCAATATTTGCTGATGAAGGTAACACGTCTATAATAATTTTGTAACCATTTTGACAATCACGTGACCGTTTCTCAAGTCAGGAGCCTCTGCTCAGGTTTAATTTATAGAGGAATTTGGTTTAATCTTTTTCATAACAGCTATGACTATTTGAGGATTGCAAACGAAAAAAATGAGACATTTGGTGGGCGCAATGGAAAGTACTGTGGTGTTCAATATGGAAGCGTCAGTGTCACTGGTCAATATGCTGTGTTAACATTTCATTCAGACAACATTGTCGCACTTAGAGGATACTACTTGACATTCACGTTAATCCCTGCTGGCTGTAAGTACTGTAACATTTTTTTACAGATCAAGTCGAATTGTAAAATAAGAAACTCCAAAAAAACGAGGCTGTCATTTTCAAGATGCACAAAAGTGTATGCTGACTAAGTCCCTACTTTGGTTGTTCTGGTATCACTGAACTCCACCGAGTTTCCACAGCTCGGCGTGAGTTATGGAAGTATTGGGTACTCTAAACCCATTACGATTCCATTGGTGGACCTTGATGTAGTGATCTCGTTTCACTTTTGCAGCAAATGGTACCCAGTCTCCGCCCACTTACCCTCCAAGTAAGTATTACTGTGTTATACATCAATTTCAAATGGTATTATGTTACTGATTATTTAAAACAAAATTTGGAAATAAAACACATTATGTGGTAGACAAACCCTGGTGAGGTAATTGTGCTTGAAATGGAAAAAAGAAGGAATACAGTGGAGAGGATCAATTTAGAAGATTAATGTATATTCCCAGAAAAACCATAAAATAAAGGTCACCGATAATTCACCAAACCTTGACTCTTCCTTAGAAGAAAAGAGACTCAATTTGGTTCATCTTGTATCAATCAACTCCAGTGATTCCCCACAAGATGTAATGGCTTAGAGCAGTTATAATAGCTCATTACAAGACGTCATTACAGCATTAAGCAACTTCATGAATGTAATGTATTAAAGTGGTGTGGTTTGTTTTCACCTCTTCCGGGACTCGTACCCCGTATATACCCACATACCCCCCCAACATCAGCAAACCGTCCATGTAAGTAGCACTGACTTATCCATCAATCTCAGTTGATATCTTTCAAATATCAAGAACAACTTTTTTATGTAAATTGTAACATTGATTTTAACAAAACACAATCTAATGAGTCAATCTACACTGTGAAGTAGATTTCAACTGAGAGTGAAATGTTATTTAAGATTGCATTGGGTTTGCTTTACTTCACTCTGTGAACAGTCACACTACCCCCTTAAGAACAGTCACACTACCCCCTTAAGATCAGTCACACTACCCCCTTAAGAACAGTCACACTACCCCCTTAAGAACAGTCACACTACCCCCTTAAGAACAGTCACACTACCCCCTTAAGAACAGTCACACTACCCCCTTAAGAACAGTCACACTACCCCCTTAAGAACAGTCACACTACCCCCTTAACCGCTAAACCAATAATAACTTAACTTATGGAATTTTTCTCTTTCCTTTGTAACTTCTATTTAATTCACCGTTGGCCTCTTGTAATATTATCATTGTTTTCCATAGTTGCATTCGTTTTCAATTCAGTAGGTACCCAAGGTCCACAAACAGTGTACCCAACAAATCCTCCTTGGTATACCACAGCACCACCAAACGGTAAGAAGTCCAAAGTACTAAAAAACTTAATTTAATTTCTTGGATGTTGTAAACTTCATTTGTGTCGATATTTTTCTTTAAATAATCCTTCTACTTTTATTATACAGTTGGTTGTGGTTACGTGCAAGGTTATCAGCTCACAAGTCCCGGATATCCAAACAATTATCCGAATGGGATAGACTGTGAGTACTGGGTCTACATTCCTTATGGCAAGGCGTTAAGAATTTACTTCAATGACTTTCAAGTTGAGTCAGATCCAAGTTGCAGGTAAATGAGTTGTGAAGCAAACAGGTTTCAAAATTACCGCGTAATGCATCAGTACTACATATACTGATCTTCTGTAGGAACATGACAAGTGATACTTGACTTGGATGGGGAGGGAGGTGGGAAGGGAGGTGGGGTGGGGGTTGTGGCTGGTGGGAATTAGAAAAGCAAGGAAGATGTACTGCACCCTGACCGAAGGCTGTTAGAATAGAGTATGGTTTATGACGGTCCCAATGGAATACTTAGAGAAATGATTACCATACAAAGCATACTCGCTGGTGCATTTTATGACCAAATCCAGTACCAAGCTCTACTGCGATTCTATCTTTAACTATTAGATTATGGGCTCGATATTTCTATCGCATAGCTGCTGATAAGGGAAAAGCCCAAATCAACTACTACTTTTGGCAATCGAGAGAGAATAATGTAATTATTTTGGTATAAATCTGCAAGTAATTCAATCCTTAACAAGATAGGTTCTTGTTAGGTTCTGTCTAGTTTAGAACTGTTCACTGAAAGGTCTTTCACTCAATTCACTGTCTATCACCAAATAGGAAAATATCTATCTCAGAATAGAAAGCGAATAGCACAGCCAATCAGGTTGCAGCATCTGTGAAAGAACGCAAGTAGATTAAAACGAAAAGGAAATACAAATAATTGATGAATAGTTTAGTGTTTGTTCCTATATTTGGATAAATGCCGTAGCCATTAGATATCTTTATTTCATTGGTTAGCACACCCTTGACCGCAGTCATGTGATTATCCATATATATTTGCGTATAAATATTGTCCACCACTTCACTTTAACTGCAATATTTGCTGATGAAGGTAACACGTCTATAATAATTTTATAACCATTTTGACAATCACATGACCGTTTCTCAAGTCAGGAGCCTCTGCTCAGGTTTAATTTATAGAGGAATTTGGTTTAATCTTTTTCATAACAGCTATGACTATTTGAGGATTGCAAACGAAAAAAATGAGACATTTGGTGGGCGCAATGGAAAGTACTGTGGTGTTCAATATGGAAGCGTCAGTGTCACTGGTCAATATGCTGTGTTAACATTTCATTCAGACGGCAGCGTCTCACGTAGAGGATACAACTTGACATTCACGTTAATCCCTACTGGCTGTAAGTACTGTAACATTTTTTTACAGATCAAGTCGAATTGTAAAATAAGGAACTCCAAAAAATCGAGGCTGTCATTTTCAAGATGCACAAAAGTGTATGCTGACTAAGCCCCTTCTTTGGTTGTTCTCGTATCACTGAACTCCACCGAGTTTCCACAGCTCGGCGTGAGTTATAGAAGTATTGGGTACTCTAAACCCATTACGATTCCATTGGTGGACCTTGATGCAGTGATCTCATTTCACTTTTGCAGCAAATGGTACCCAGCCTCCGCCCACTTACCCTACAAAACGAACCCCTGCAAGTAAGTAATACCGAGTTATATATCAATTTCAAATGGCAGCCTTTTACGAAATATTCAAAACAAAATTTGGAAATAAAACACATTATGAGGAAGACAAACCCTGGTGAGGTAATTGTGCTTGAAAGGGAAAAAAAAACGCAGTGGAGAGGATCAATTTAGAAGATTGATGTATATTCAAAGAAAAACCATAAAATTAAGGTCACGAATAATTCACCAAACCCTGACCCTTCCTTAGAAGATAAAATAATCAATTTGGTTCATCTTGTATCCATCAACTCCAGTGATTCCCTACAAGATGGAATGGCTCATAGCAGTTATAATAGCTCATTACAAGAAGTCATCAGTTACAGCATTAAGCAACTTCATAACCATAATGTATTAAAGTGGTGTAGTTTGTTTTCACCCCTTGCGGAACTCGTATCCCGTATACGCCTCGTATCCTCCACGGGTTTCGTAGATCACATTATGTTTCAAACCCTGTTTAAAAGGTGAACTAATCGGAGTAATGTGTAATAAAGAGATGAGACAAATTCTAAGTTTCATCGGTCTCCGCTTCTATAGTTTCAACTATAATGTTTTCGCTAATGTTGTTTTTCTTTTAAAAGGAAGATAACATAAATATAAAAATTTTACTTGAAACTATAAAATTAAAAATAGAGTTCACCACACCAATACCAAACACAGCTTATCCGACAGCCAGCCGTGAGTATTTTAGGATTTCGTTAGCGCTCTTCTTCTGGATAGAACTTCATAACTGTTACCAAGTTTCACGCTTTAACTCAAATTCAACAACAAGGTCACGAAATTCGCCTTCAGTTTGTCCTCAACTTGTATAAAAAGTGAAATTATGTTTCATTTCTTCAGAAACTATCCATAACGCTGAAAACAGCAACGTAAATTCATTCAAACGCCAGAATTTAGAGATATGTTTTCCACGAAGCTTAGATAAATCTCGACTCGAACTAAATTGGGTAATGTACACGGTAAAATATTTTGTTATGTTTGTGGCGGATCACGAATCACGCAAAGCTCAATACAAATTTAACTTAAGTTTCACGAGAAAGTGAAAATACCAATTCAAGCTTCACGCATCATTTACAGTGATGTAAGTTTAATCTAAGATGCGAGAAAATGATGTTGTGTAAAGTTTCAATCCTTTTCTGGACCTTTTTTACCAGCTATGTTTCCATCTGTTGGACCATCTCCCGATGCAAAGAGGTAAATAGCGAAATCTGAGTTTTAATTTTTTCATGTAGTTCCTATTACCGAGTAACAGCCACCGAAATACCAAATATTAAGGTTGCTTTTCAGCAGAAATTGCTGCATTAAGTTACACTTTTAAGTCATAAATAACCAGACCTTGCATACTTGATTTTGGAGTAACGGATAAGCTAATGATTCTATTCATTGCTTGCTAATAGAGGAGTTTTTTGTCGTTTTTATTTTCAGGGAACTCCAGTACCTCATTGCCATCGTGCGATACCTCCTAAATCAGGTAATAACATTGAAATAAAAGTTACCGAGATCCGTCAGGAATATTAACGATGGAAGTCTCCTATTTGTATTTGGGGACTGCAGAAGTCCCTAATTGATGCCTTGTTCGACCAGAAAACCTCTCTACAGAAATGAAAGACTACTCCTATATCGCCTATAGAAAAATGTAGCCTGGAAATATGGGTTGATGAAGAAAGCCCAGATTGAGAAATATAGAAGTGGCGTTTTTTCCTTGCATTTTTATTTGATCTAATTCCCCTAATTCGAAATTCAAGTTTTATCATAATGGCAAATGAAAACCACCTCGTGTGACGTAGGCTATATGTGTTTAGAACTGTATTATAACAGAAGCACATAACATTCAGTTTATGACGATGATGATGAAGAATATGATGACGATGATGATGAAGAATATGATGACGATGATGATGAAGAATATGATAACGATGCTAATGAATATGATATTAATTACACTTCATTTCAAACCACCCAACCAAGTCATCAAGCAAAGGTATTGGATAAGTTCCTGTCTGTCTTTCAAAGTTTCTCCAAACTGAAAAACTTAGCCTAAATTTTTGAAGTTGTACATGCGTAATTCACAACTATCGGTTTTCCAACGACCCACTAAACTGAGAGAAACTAAAGATATCGTTACGTGGCTCCATTAAGGCGCTAAATCTTTACAATTTCCTTCCCCAGATGGAGTATGTAGTGAACAATGAGGTTTTCAGTGTGTCTGTCAGGGATTATGAAGGTAGGCCGTTTAATCAAGCATTAATGTACATTCAGAATGTTATTAAAAAAACTTACAAGCCTACGATTAAAATTGCATCTTGTTTGAGCAGATGTACTTTATGGGAAAACAAACAGCAGCCGTCTCAAAAAATATCAATGGACGAACGAATAAAGAATGAGCACCAGTAATGAAACAAACGAACGAATCGAAGAACAATGAACGAACAAACGACCAAACTGAAGAAACTAATAAGCCCGCTAACATACAAACGAAAGAACCAAAGAATGACAACCTGAGAATGAAAGAACGGACGACCAAACGAATGAGCCAATGAGGACCAAGGAACGACGAAACGATCGAACGCACGAACGAACTATCGAGGGCCAAGGATTGAGCGAATGGACGAACGACCAATCAAACAAGCCAACGAACGAACTATTGAAAACCAAACAATGGACGAACGAACGAACAAACAAACGAGCAAACAATAGAATAAATGAATGAATCAATGAAGCAACGAATAAATGAATAAATGTTAAAGTTTTGTTTAGTTTTGTTGAGCCGTTCAGCGGACCTCTATCTGAGCCACCATAAAACTTCCCTAAAAATAGATGATTGCGTGAAAACCAAAACGTGGTAAGATGCACCCCGGCTTCACCCCTAAAACCATGGTTCAAATTACTACGTCAAGTTTTCTTGTTTTTAAACCGACAGCTCGAGTCAAGAGAGCGATTACTGATGTCCACCATGCTCTACGGGCTGAAGGAAGGCAGAAGCGTGACGTTAGTAGTGTGGAGATGATTAGTCAGTTGGAAAAGAAGGCTGACGATCTAATAAAGCAACTGCAAATCAAAGAAGGTGGGTAACACTCCTTGGGCAACTCATAACAAGATGAAAAAAATCATTCGTTTAAGACTAGATAAAGAGTCTTTGTGTCCTGTTTTAGATCGATACCAGAGGAGTGCCCCTAAAAGGAAAGTTGCTATTGAGGATGCTGAGAAAGCTCACTGAGCTGGTAAGGATATTAGTTAAAACTAAAGTTATAACGATAAAAACCACGAAATGTTAAATACATGGCAGTAACAGCTGAGCTGTAGCAAAAAGTACACAAAATATAGCAAAACAGTCCTTATTACCAACTCTCCTGAAAACAACTAAAAGGAAACTATTATAGTAATTCATGGTTTCAAACAGTAACATGATTTTCTCGACATCTGCTGGTAAAGTAAACTATTGCTATCTAACAATACCAAGAAAATTACGGCTAAAAACAACTTAAGATGGGTTAAAAATGGGCTCACTCCTTGAGAAGTAGATGGGGAAATAGGCTCAGAGAGATTGAAGATATGAAGAATGGAATTAGGCCGCTACCCTTCAGCTTACAACAATGCGGCACTGAGCAACAGGAGAGCGATTAAAAGTTAGGAAAAAATAAATGTTCAGATCTGAAAACAAGTTGACACTGACGTTCTTCTTTTTGTCCACAGATCAGGTTGACATAGTCAAAGCAACCAGAAACACTAAAAAGAAAGTTGATACTAGAAGAGAAATAAGCGTAGAGAAGAAAAACGAACCCGACCTGCTTACTAAAAAACTGAATAATAGCTGTGCTGTGGGGATTGGGTGCGCATATTTGAGTTAAGGCACTGAATAAAGGAACTTATGGCATAAAAATGTTGGACTCTTTGTTGGACTAAAATTGTTGGACTTTTCCCACAATTTATGGTGCTTTTTTGGTGGGTTTTACGAGATAAATTGAGTTTTCAGTGTAAATTGGCCTCCTATCCATCCTCCTCCGATCAAACGACGAAGGGCTAGCGCTTGACCAGTAATCTCTATAAAACTCTTTTTGGTGGCCAATTTATATCACAAATTTTGTAGGTAAAACCAAATTGTTGTCGCTTTCAGCAAGTAAGTGATTCAGTCATTCAGCAAACTTTTAAATTCATCACGAAAAACCCGAGAAATTTTGACTTTTTCTATCAGGGAGAACTACGGAAACAATTTTGTATCGATCAAGAATTCGATACAACTTTCATTCGTTTTAAGGCAAGTCTGCCTATTTTGTATGCACTGAAAAAGAACTTTTATTGTTAGTTAATAACTAAGATATTACCTGAACGCTTCTCTTTGATTCCCCTTGAACAAATTTCCTATTATCATTGTGTTTTGAATTTCTTGTTGACCACGCGTATGGATGAGTTGAATTGAACTACTGTGCAACCGGGTGCGGCTTGTGCAGCCGCGTTACTTTTGGCGCGAAATTCTGCTGACCTCACGCGGGCCAACTGAAAGCGGAGCCGCCTACTAAAAGAACTCCTACTGAGACTAGCTTTCGAGGCTTCATTCTAAACCCCAGACCTCTATACTGATATAAATTTGTGAATTACCCTTTTTGTTCCATTTTTTTTTCTTGAATTTTCTATTATACCCTAGCCAACGACCTTAGAGTAACTGATGAGGTCTGAATAAAGCGTATATTTCACCTCGTGCTGTTACGCACACATTTGAAATACTGCGAGATCAATTTCAATTTGGCTCCCACCAACACTGTACGATGTCGTGTAATAATCACCAGTCAGTCAACAAGTTTTGATTCGTTCCCTTCCTTTTTCGGACATTTGATTTCAAAATTTCGAATTTCCCGCTGATTGATTTTCATCGTAGATGAATCCAGGTGGTAAATTTTTAAGCTGTGTAACCATTCATGTTTTTTCAAATCTGGTTTTTTTAAGAGAATCCCCCGCATTAGTTTTTCACTCTTGGTTTTTTCGCAGCGTGTGCATTTTTTCCCGTGATGCCGTTCTTCCTCTACTCCTCTTTACGTGACCGACCCCTTCCTAAGAAAAATTTAATTATATGAATCAGATAAAAACTCACTGCTGCGTGACTTTTTGTTTACTCTGCGAGTGTGTATCTTGTGATTGAAGAATATACGCCCTGACATTCTTCCCCCGCCTTTAACGAAGATGAAGGATCCTCGTGTGTTGTTCCTATGCGTCATATTTGCAACTTTTCACTTTGCCATTTCGCATAAGCGAGAGACAAAGCCAAAGATCCTACATTCTTACATGCTAAAGATATACAACACGCGTGCGCGAGGAAATGAAAATGGTAGCTTTACAATCTTGCTGCGCCGAAACCAGAAGATTCTTGCTGACTCCATTCGAGGTTTCCAGCTGGAGAAAAGCGGTGAGTACCGTCTGAACACAGTATGAACACATACCTTTCTTAGTGGGAACATTAAGCTTTCTTAAAGGATCACTAATTCGACTAGATTTATTAAAATTTCAATACTCTAGCTGAAAAGTAAATATACGTAACCGTCGAGGAATCTCAACCTTTCTTGAGGTGAGGAATTTTTCTCATCAATTTCTAATAAACTTTTTTCAAAAGTACCTCAGCTGTTATTTGTTGTCATTTAGAGATACTGAGTAACGTTGAGAGGAACCTTCCATCACGGATAAATTCCACGAGAATGCTGCACTGCGTGTGAAAGCGTAATCCACGTCACGTTCGATGCACTCATAGTATGCACTGACTTACAAAAGAGACGTAACCAGCGCTGATTAATTAAAAGTAACTGTTAGTTTTCCTTATCCATTTTATACTGAGTAAGGTTAGCATGTGTAGAATTTATTTTGCATAATAGTGCATTGCTGAAAATTTTAGTGTTTAAAAGGAGCAGATCGTTTGAAACCACCGCCCTCGGCCGGCTGCGATCACGAACGAGTGTAATTGAAAATCTCCTTTGAAAGATGAAAGTAGAGGTTTTAAATTGACAGGTGCGCATGACTTGCTCAACTACCTTGATCTTATGGTGAATTCTGGTTTACTGCTTTTATAATTTTTTTCGAAGTTCACTTAAAACAAGACGTGCTCGTTATCCATTTACACCCTCTTTGATGTTTTATTCCGTGATAATTTTGTTGTGCTAACATTTCTTAGGAACCACGTGGCAAGGGTCTATTGTCGAGATGAAATTTCACATGGGGAACAGTTTCAAGAACGATTTCGTAGTGGAAGCTGAGCTTGTTATGACCTCCAAACTGTCCACTAGAAATATGAGGCGACGATATAATGTCAGCGTGTACCATGAAAAATCCGCATCGAACATATCGGCGCCAAATAATACAAGGCTTTCAGATTCCCGCACTTTTCCAAAGAGGGCAAATGTTGAGTTTGGTCTTAACGTGACACAAGCTGTTAGAATGTGGAGTTCAATTTTGGCTAGGACTTACACACTATTGGTAGGACTTTGAACTTCATATCTCGATTTTCTGTTGTACACCAATGACGTTCGTTTACCATATTTGCGCCATACAGATTTGCTAAAGTCTTAAATGTCGTTTTATTTTTTCATTTGATTTTTTCTTCTACCAAACAGTTTCGTAAAACAGTATTAACAGAAATGTTGATCCTCTTCCATCACATGGCCTTTCTTCACACCTGAAAATCTTTGAGTTTTCCTTTTTTTCTCTCCCCTGTTTAAACAAATGTTCTTTGACACCATAATCTATTCCTTTGTTCATTTTACTTTCTTATAGGTAAAAATAGAACCACTCGATGACTCTAAAGCTTCTTTAAGTGTGTTGAGATACCTCGATCATGGCCACTTGCATGGACCCTTCCTTGTACTGTACACACAATCTAAACAGGGACAAAACAATAATGACATCTGGAAGCTGTTGACAATCAATTGGCTTGCACTTTCACCTGTGCTCAATAGTACCACTGCTCAAAAGGGTTATAGAAATGGCAGTTATACACAACTTTCTGGGAAAAACACCAGGAGATCTCCTAGGAACCCAAGTCTCACTTGCTACAAGGTCTCATTCTCAGTAAGAATGCAAGACATATACCAAAATATAGTTATACCAAAGACTGCATATATAAACTACTGCGATGGCTATTGTTACTTCCCTATTCAAAATCACTTAACTCCCACTATGCATGCCATAACATGGGCATTGATTTGGAAAAGGCAAAACCCCACAACAATCACACCCAGAAGACCTATGTGTGTACCATCTAAGTTAAGTGCTCAAACTGTAATCCAGAGTGACCCTGAAACAGGCCAGCCAGTGCAGAAACAGTGGTTGAATTTTTCAGCCTCTGAGTGTGGATGCCGTTAAATTGGTGAAAGGACCCTTAGCTGACTTCAACCTGGTGGCACTCATTTTAAATAAACTTTTGAGAAATAAGTTAGTTAAGGAAGTCTAAAACAGAAAGGAAAGGGAGATATTCCTTTACTTGTCTGGCCTGCTAATAAGTTAACAAGGGTTTTGTGTTTACTCAAACATTCTTTCCTGTTTAATTATATATAGTGAACTTATTCTCTTTTTTGCAACCTTAGGGATTGATAGGCCACTGTTCATTTGCTGGTACTTTTGCTTAAAGTAGTTCATTTTAGGCTTGAAAATGTGTAGTTTATCTGCAAGATTCAAGCACATGGTAGTTAATTTTAGCTCACACTTTGTGTAGAATAACAATAAGCATTAGAAAGTGAGCTCAAGGACTTGAGTTTTTTTAAAAAAACCAATACTGCTGAAGAGTCCACTGACATTGTTTAATTTTAGAGTTTATAATCTTATATTTTTGTTTTCATCTAGCAGTATATAAAATTTTGATGCAAAATGGAAAAGCAGTAGCTGTGGTTTCTATTGCATATAATTGTTCCCACAATTCTTGATGAGAGATCTTAGGCTCATTGACAGTGCATCCTTCACTTACTCTGACTAAAAAAAGAAAGACGGATACATTACAAGAAGCAAAGGTAATCCCAAATAACTTTGATGCTCAATTAGAGTTTGTACTATTTTGAAATTGTTTAACTATACAACGCAGTTAGCCCCTGGGAAAGGAGTTATTTGAGACCGGTAGCACCTACAATTGAAAACGCTGCCCAATGTTGAGGACTTCGAGTGTCCTCTTTAGTTTGAAGAGTCTTCATGGACTTCTGCAACGATACCGCAGCATCACGGGAAGCTTTGTATTCGCGATAGAATGACGTCATCAACTCAGAAGCAGGTTTGTCATCAATCTTCCATAACGTGACAATCACGCAAGCTGCACCAGCTGCTAGAAACGCCCGTGACAAGCCTATAAGAAAGTGAGTAATAATTACAGTGTATCTCCATTGAGTACACGGCATCGCTCAGTAGCTATGCAGAAAATGGAGCCACACCACTGATGGAAATATGGTGACGAGAAACAACAGCGTAGTTCCATTTTCCGCATATAAACTCACACAAAAAACTTACCCCCTCTATTCTTAAAACGCTGAGGCCACTTATGGTAGAAGGTAGCCTTGATTGCGTCTTCAAAATTCTGGAAGGCTGAGGAGAATACTACCACAAACTTAAGCATAGGCGTAAAAATCCTACAAAAACGTCATCAACTCACCCAGCATTCCATCGCCTGTCACTTTACCCAGTCCGGATTCGCAACAGCTTAGCACAACAAGTTCAGCATTCAGTTCCAAGCCCCTCACTTCCTCAGCTGTGAGAATACCATCACATTCGAGCCCAGACTTTGTAAGTACAATGAGTCCTCTCATGCTAAAATCCCCGTGGGAGTCTGAATCATCTATAATAGCGTGCGTCGCAAAATGTAGGACCCTGTACTTTGGCATGGCCTCTATCACCACCGCCTTTTGGGCCTGAGATCCTATAAGAATTTCAGACATCGGCGATTTAAGAATCTCTTTGATCATGCGTACTTCGTACTCTGCAGAGGGGAGCTGTGGAAGTTCTTCGAAAGGCATGATGGGGTTTCCAACTGCAAGGAGACTAAGCTCCAGAGGCGTTGTGGTCTTTAAAGAAGTTTCACGAGAGGTGCAAGCTAAATCGAGGAAGTGGATCGCTGGACTGGTAGAGATTATGAAGTCCTCCATGAAATAGTGACCCCTTGCCTCATTTTTTAAAGCAGCGAAGGGAACTTTGAGCAAAAAATCTTGGGGTATGAAAGTCACCCTTTGAGATTCATCATTTTTGGGCAGAAAATCCATAATGGGCTCAATAAGAATCTTGTGGAGCTGGCTCAGCATCGGCGTCCAAGGATCCAATTCTGGGTCACTCTGAGGTTCATTTTTGTGTACCTTTGAATGTGCGCCTAAGGGCTCAGTTTCAACTTCGTAAAAAGGACCTGATGAATTGCCCACAGAAACGTGATCATCATCTTTCTTAGGGAACTCATGGAGCTGATCTCCATATTTCCCTTCAATGTTGTTGTCACTTTGCAAAGAAAAATTAGATTCCTCACATGAAGGCTTAGAGGCGATACCATGTTCAAGACCTTCTGCGGTAGCCCCAGAGCCGTCATGACTTGTTACTATCAGAGAGGGCTTATCTGCTTCTTCTTCAAAGGGATTGTCACTTGGTTTTGAAGCTGCCAATATTTCAGATTTAGCTTGGCCAGACTCTAATGTGTGCACGAGTGCGAGGGCTCTGAACCACTTAGTGAATGTTGAAGGCTTTCTTCGCTTGTTGCCAAAGGAAATGATTCATTTTCCTCGACTTTAGCGGGATTCTCGCGTTCCATACTTGAGTCATCTTGAGGATCTTCTACTAGGCATTCAACTATGAGGGGTGACTCGCCAGAAATAACATCAACTTTATCAAAAGTCATCACATTACTTGGCTTTACAGATTCAGTTGAATGGGCTTCAGTTGAATAGGCAAGCTCCTCCTTGCTCGAAACTACGTAAGCTTCTTGACTTTCTGAGCTACAAAGCTCGGTTTTAGAGGCGGTTGGCTTCTCTGCAACTGTCTCGTTCCAGCTCTCTTGGCTGCCTGTTGACTCGTCAAAGGTTTCGTGTTTAGGTATTGAAGCTTCTTTAGATAACAGTTCTTGTTTTCTGAGATCCTTAGTTTTGAGCGGAATACCAAAACCCTTCCAACCGGTAATAAAATCGTGTTCAAAACCTCCTAGCGAACTCAAGATGTCCTCGACTTTAATTGCCGCAACATGTACCTTAGCCTCCCTGGAAACCTTTTTTTGCTCTCCACATGATCTCAGAATCTTGCTTACTTTTCCCATTTGAGATTCCTGGCCCATAGATCGTCTAAGAGACGCTATAAATTCGTCGTTGATCTCAACTTTCGTCTCCAAATCGTGCTGCAAACGAGTCTTGTTGAAATTAAGGCTCCCGGAAGGACATAACACCCAGGTGTACACCCATGTGAAATATGCCCCTGATTGGTCAAACTCTTTCGCCACCGAGTAAAACACAAGTGTTGTGGAACGCTTACGGCTGATTTCCACAAGATTGTTGAAGGATTCGGCGATAAACTCTTCATTAAGAGTTACCGTTTCTACTCCACTAGAGATATCGCTACAGCCTGATAATCGTTTCCGAACAATTTCTGCCAATGCTCGTCCTCTGCTTGCATCAGCTAAAACAAGAGCCTCTTTAAACTTCCCCTGCGCGACGAGTATAACTTGTAACAGATTATATGCCTCGGCTTGGTTCTTCTCAAAGTTAGACAGTTTCGATTTGTCTTCTCCACCGACCTGTGAGCGGATTCTTTCCAGTGTTTGAAACGCATCGAGAACCGACCTCTCTGCTTCCGGTAGCTTTCCCAAAAGGAGGTAATCCATAGCTAACTGATGCTGCATAATGGCTACCCCACCGATATCCATTCGCCTTTCAGCATTATCTCTATACTTAACATGGCAATCAATCGCATCTTTAAACTTTTCTAAAGCTCTGTAAACCGTGCCTAAATTTCCCCACGCCATTCCTTCGCGAGCAACATTGTCTGCCTTATGCGCACGATCGATGGCGAACTTGAACATCTCTTCGGCTTCTTCATTGTAACCTAGTGCGGTATAAAGTTTGCCAATTTTGTTAAATGCCATTCCCATCCTTGCAAAATCACCTACTTCCCCTGCAAGGGAGTATGCAATATACTGATACACCACAGAATCGTCAAACTCTTTGGGGTTATAAAACTTCAAATATCCAATATTGTTGCATGCAATAGCCAGGCCATGGATGTCTCCTCTGCTCAATGCGAACTTATAGTGAAATGAGAAGAGTTGCTCTGCATCTTTATACCTGGAACGAATGAGTGCCTGAGAGTAAGCGATAACTAGTTTATGTCGATGGAAATAGGGCTGTTAGAGAACACAGAATTAAAAGATAAATTGAATCCTTTAGCTCCAAAGATTTTTAAAAGCATGTGTCTTCTTTCAAATACCTCACAAAAGTAACAGGATGAAATTTCTGAATTACATACAACCCTTAATACCTTCCTTCCGATCTGAAAACGTTACCCAGGTCCCCGCAGCAACTGGACACAAGACCAACGTCTCTCACTTCCTCGGCAAGGTCCAGGGCTTCTCGGAGATACTCTTTAGCTTTGCCCCAGTCTGCCGCAGATCTACAGGCATTGCCGTAATGCTGCAGGAAAAGAGCTCTTGTGTGAGGTTTCAAAGTGGCTTTGAAAACCATCAGTGGCTTGAAATAGGTGTCTATGGCCTGTTTTAGTTCACCGCGATCGAGCAAACAGATTGCAAGATGTATTTTAGCTAAAGATTCTCTATCAAAATCTTTCACAGATGAAGCAATGTTCCACGCCTTCCGATAAAACTCCTCGGCCTCGTTTAGTTCTCTAAGAAGGCGATGTATTGTTCCAAGATTGAGAACAGCTTCAAATAAGAATGGTGCTGTAATACGAAAAAACATGACATCAATTAAAAACCAAAGAATGGCAGAAATAACCAGACAAATTATCACAAATCCTACAATTAATATCATCAATATTTCGAGTCATTTCTTTTGTGAATACAATGACTGGAATATTGTTATCTTCTGTGGACTTTCACTCAGTCGTGTTGAAAATTATCTACCTTCTCGACTCACTCAACCTGAACTGAGTTATGGCTCTGATTGAAAAGAAGAGTCATTGGGATGCACTGAGTGGGAAACTTTGACCAGTGATCTACTTTTAGATCTTTTTTTTTTAAACTCCAACTGAATTCTGTGAAGCTTGTTCATCAAAGCTTCCTTGATAGCTAAAATGTGGAAAGCGTGACCTTTCAAGCTCAGCAGTCACGAAAGTAAACTAGCGTGACGATCAAAACTACAGAGCAAAGTGCAAAAAATTTTCGACAAGTCATCGTGCTTTCTACTGCTTCCAAAACAATGTTTCATTCCAAAAAAAAGAGTCTAACTTACCTAAATCGCTCTCCTTCGCTTTTAGACGAACCAAGTTATCAGATGAGTACTCCTGAGCAGCGTCTTGATACAATTTCTTTGCTGTCTCAACAGCCACTCTCCAAGGACCTGTTGCGATTTGAACTTTAAATATTTCGTTCATTGCAGCAAATTTCTGTTGCTTGCAATTGCTCATGGCTCTCTTTAGTATATATTCCCATAATATTAATGCTGTTGGCAGATCTCTACTCGTGAAATCCTGGGCCATTTCAAATAAACTAAGAAATGGCGTTTCTTCCGCTTTCACTTTCTCAAAGACATCTTCATCAGCTGACGGCAACTTTTGTCGTAAATTGTCGAGTCCAACTTTAACAAGATCTTGGTGTTCTGGCGCTAGGTATTCCATAACAGAGCCGATTGAGTTTTAACGGCGATCAAAGCCAAAAAGGCTGTAAAGATCCTTTCAGAACAGTCAGCGAAAACTATCAAGTTCGCCGCTCTGTTTAAATGAAGGGAAACTCCCTGGGAATTGTGGGAGGAACAGTTTAAATGAGAGGAGTCTGGAAATAGCTAAATTTTAAACGTGGCTGATGCTAAAACCGTGAAAGGAACAAATCCACAGTATCTTGTCGAGAAGTAGTTCGCTTACGTGTTTATGACAATAAATACTGGAACGAGCAATATTTTGCACTTTCAGGTATTAAAGTCTTATTATCCCTAATATGACTAGATTTGACTGGGATATAATCAACCCTTTGGTATCCAAATTTGTTGCAGTTTGTTGCATTTATTTAAAATTAAATGGTAAATTGAACAGAAGGGTGTATTTTTATGTATATGACAGTACCGTGATAATATCTGGAAGCACTACAGTGTCGAAACTCTCCCTAAAATTAGATCAAACATGAGCTGATATGAGATCAGAAGTTGGTTGATCGAGTTGAGTGCTCGTGGAAACTAATATAAAATGATAATTAAGAAGCCTCAGCCTTGTGTTACTCGTGTTTAATCAATTCTTTATGACAAAACTACCTCAAAAATATAAAACGGAGGTGAAGGAAAAGAAGTTAAAAATTCACTGTCAATTTTGCATTCCTTTATTTGGCTGGCCGGTCAATAAGTTGAAATAAGTATAAAAAGGGTTTTGTGTTTATTGTTTACCACATTCCTTGCTATTCAATAATACAAAGAAAACTTGTTTGTTTCAAACAGCTTAGAGATAGACGAGTCAACCAAACTTTCATCTGGTGTATGTTACATTACATTTGTTGGTACCTTTTGCCAACTGTGCTTCGTTTTGCATTTCCTACTTAAACAAATGTAAATAGCAGCCTCCACAATTTTTGTGGCTTAAAAATGTTAACATACGAAATTCAATAACATAGTAGTTGATTTTTGTGGGATTACTTCAAACTTTGTTTAGATTTAGAGTCAGTATTAGACTGTGAGCAGAAAAACTTCAGTTGAAAAACAAACCAACAACCGGTTGGAGAGTCCACTGACATTTTATAATTTTAGAATTAACTGAATATTGTTGTTATTATCTGGTAGTATGTAAAATTTTGTTGCAAAATGAGAAAGCTGTAGCTGTGGTTTCTATCGCTCATAGCTGTTCCCAAAACTTTTGGTAACAAATCTTAGGCTCATTAACACACCCTGTGCTAAAAGTGAATAAAAAAATTTGGAGGATGACGTATCCTGAATGACTATCGATGCTCATTTAAAGTTTGCACTATTTTGAAATATTAACTGAACAAAGCATTTGGCTCGTTGGAAAAGAGTCATTTGACAGCGGGAACACCGACAATGGAAAACGCAGCCCAATGTTGTGGACTTCGAGTGTCCTCTTTAGTTTGAACAGTTTTCATGGCCTTCTGTAACGATACCGCAGCATCACGGGAAGATTTGTATTCACGATAGAATGACGTCATCAATTCAGAAGCAGAATTGTCATCAATCTTCCATAGCGTGACAATCACGCAAGCTGCACCGGCTGCCAGAAACGCCCGTGACAAGCCTATCAGAAGGAAGGCAATTGTTAAGGTTGAACAAGATATTGTCCAACAGATTTAATGAAGGGCTACTTCAGACAATCGAGTCACATTCAAATTACTCTTCCTAGTAAATGAAGGTTCTCTTCATGAACTTATGCGATTCACCGACGCACTGAATATTTTGGGTAGTAAGGATGTATAAATACACATATGGAACAATCCGTTGTCCGTTGTCCGTTGTTTGGAGTGAAAAGGGCGCGACGCCTTAGCATTTTTTTTTGTTTTCAGCAAACTAAAACGCTGGAAAGAATGGGGAGAATCCCAAAACCCATAACGAGTGAATTAACGACATAAATTAAAAGCTTTACACTTATCACTTCCATCAGCCCCTGCTTGCGTCCAGTCTCAGCTTAAACTTGTTCCCAACTCCTACCCGTCTAGACTCTTTGGGCCATCGAGACCTACCTAAAAGTTGTGAAAATGACTTCCTATAGATATTCCTATCAGATGGATTTGTTTGTGTCTTCGAAATTTGGAAAGGCTAAGAACAAGATAGGAATATCGCAAATATAAACATAGGCGTAAAAAAATCTACAAAAAAGTCACCAACTCACCCAGTATTCCATCGCCTGTCACTTTACCCAGTCCGGTTTCACAACAGCTCAGCACAACAAGTTCAGCATTCAGTTCCAAGCCCCTCACTTCTTCAGCCGTGAGAATACCATTACATTCGAGCCCAGACTTTGCGAGAACAATAAGTCCTCTCATGCTAAAATCCCCATGAGAGTCTTCGTTGTCGATAATAGCGTGCGTTGCAAAATGTAGGATCTTGTATTTTGGCATGGCCTCCATCACTACCGCCTTTTTAGCCTGAGATCCTATAAGAATTTCAGACATTGGCGAGTTGATAGTCTCTGTAATCATGTGCACTTCACGCTCTGCAGAGGGGAGCTGTGGAAGTTCTTCGAAAGGCATGATGGGGTTTCCAACTGCAAGGAGACTTAGCTCCGGAGGCGCTGTGTTCTTTTCAGCGGTTTCACAAGAAGCGCAGGCTAAATCGAGAAAGTGGATCGCTGGACTGGTTGAAATTATGAAGTCCTCAATGAAATAGTGACCACTAACGTCACTTTGCAAAGCAGCGAAGGGAACTTTGAGCAAAAAATCTTGGGGTATGAAAGTCACCCTTTGAGATTCATCCTTTTTGGGCAGGAAATCCATAATGGGCTCAATAAGAATCTTGTGAAGTTGGCTCAGCATTGGTATCCAAGGATCCAGTTCTGGGTCACTCTTAGGTTCCTTTTTGTGTACCTTTGAATGTGCGCCTAAGGGCTTAGTTATAACTTCATTTAAGGGACCTGACAATGTGCCCACAGAAACGTCACCATCTACTTTTGCAGGGGACTGATCTCCATATTCTTTTTCAATGTTGTTGTCACTTTGCAGAGAAGAATTAGATTCCTCAGGTGAAGGCTTGATGGTGATATCATGTTCAAGGCCTGGTGCGGGAACGCCAGGACCGTTTTGACTTGTTGTCATTAGACAAGGTTTATCTGCTTCTTCTTTAATAGGATTGTCACCCGCTTTTGAGGCAATCAATACCTCAGATTTAGCTGTATCGGACTCCAAATGTGTGCACGAGTGTGCAAACACGGAATCACTTATCGGATGATGAAGGCTTTCCTCACTTGCTTCAAAAGATGATTTATCTTTCTCCAATTTGCTTTGCGTCTTCACGTTGTCTTGGAGGTCTTCCTCTGGGCATTCAACTATGAGGGAAGACTTACCAGAAATATTGTCAGGTTCGTCGAAAGTTACACTATGCTTTATGACACTGCTTTGCTTCATGGATCCACTTGAATGGACTTCCTCTTTACTCGACACTTCGTACGATTCTGAACTTTCTACACTGCAAAGCTCGGTTTTGGAGGCGGTTGATATCTCTGCAACTGTTTTTTTCACTAACCAGCCCTCTTGGTTGCACGTTGACTCGTCAAAGGTTCTTTCCTCATTAGATATTGAGGACTCTTTCAGTACCATCATGTGATCTTGTGTTCCTTGATCCTTAGTTTTGAGCGAAATACCAATACTCTGCCAACCGGTTTTAAACTCGTGTTCAAATCCTTCCAGAGAACTCAAGACGTCCTCGCCTTTAAGTGTAGCAACAGGTATCTTAGCCTCCCTGGAAACCTTGTTTTGCTCTCCACATGATCTCAGAATCTCGCCCACTGTTCCCATTTGAGATTGCTGGCCCATAGATCGTCTCAGGGACACTAGAAACTCGTCATTAACCTCAACTTTCGTCTCCAAATCGTGCTGCAGACGAGTTTTGTTGAAATTAAGGCTCCCGGAAGGACATAACACCCAGGTGTACACCCACGTGAAATATGCCCCTGATTGGTCAAACTCTTTCGCCACCGAGTAAAACACAAGTGTTGTGGAACGCTTACGACTGATTTCCACAAGATTGTTGAAGGATTCGGCGATAAACTCTTCATTAAGAGTTACCGTTTCTTCTCCACTAGAGATATCGCTACAGCCTGATAATCGTTTCCGAACAATTTCCGCCAATGCTCGTCCTCTGCTTGCATCAGCTAAAACAAGAGCCTCTTTAAACTTCCCCTGCGCGACGAGTACAACTTGTAACAGATTATATGCCTCGGCTTGGTTCTTCTCAAAGTTAGACAGTTTCGATTTGTCTTCTCCACCGACTTGTGAGCGGATTCTCTCCAGTGTTTGAAACGCATCGAGAACCGACCTCTCTGCTTCCGGTAGCTTTCCAGAAAGGATGTAGTCCATGGCTAACTGATGCTGCATAATGGCTACCCCACCGATATCCATTCGCCTTTCAGCATTATCTCGATACTTTACATGGCAATCAATCGCATCTTTAAACCTTTCTAAAGCTCTGTAGACCGTGCCTAAATTTCCCCACGCCATCCCTTCGCCAGCAATATTGTCCGCCCTGCGTGCACCATCGATGGCGATTTTGAACATCTCTTCGGCTTCTTCATTGAAACCCAGTGCAGTATATAGTTTGCCAATTTTGTTAAATGCAATTCCCATTCGTGCAAAATCGCCCACTTGCTCAGCAAGGGAGTATTCAACGAACTGGTACACCACGGAATCATCAAACTCTTCGGGGTTGTAAAACTTCAAGAATCCGATATTGCCACAAGCAATAGCCAGGCCATGGATGTCTCCTCTGCTCAATGCGAACTTGTAGTGAAGTGAGAAGAGCTGCTCTGCATCTTTAAACCTGGAACGAATGAGTGCTTGATGATGATTTTTATGTTAGGAATAGGGCGGTTAGAGGAGACACAAAGATCTTCTAAGCATACTGTACTTACCCTCTAACATCTAACAAGGTTGATCATCAACTATGTTTTTTTCTTGAAGAAGTTGAATGTGGGGGTCACCGTGCACCTCTGGCTACACCCTTGTATCTAACAAATTGTTAAGCTGAAACTCTAACTTATCTGTTGCCGCCGCAGAAGCCGCAGTAAAACCAACAGGAGAGAATTTCTGAATTACATAGAAAACTCGTTACCTTCCTTCCGATCTGAAAACGTTACCCAGGTCCCCACAGCAACTAGACACAAGACCAACGTCTTTAATTTTCTTGGCAAGGTCCAGGGCTTCTCGGAGATACTCTTTAGCTCTGCCCCAGTCTGCCGCAGATCTACAGGCATTACCATAATATTGAAGGTAAAGAGCTCTTGTGCGAGGTGTCAATGTTGCTTTGGAAACCATCAGTGGCTTGAAATAGGTGTCTATGGCCTGTCTTAGTTCTCCGCGATCGAGCAAACAAATTGCTAGATGTATTTTAGCTAAGGATTCTCTGTCAATATCTTTCACAGATGTAGCAATGTTCCACGCCTTCCGATAAAATTCCTCAGCTTCGTTCAGTTCTTTAAGAAGGCGATGTATTGTTCCGAGATTCAGAGCAGCTTCAAATAAGAGTGGTGCTGCTATAAGGGGTTCTAATGAAGATATAACAATAATTATTTAAAATACAAAGAACGGCAGAAATAACAAGACAAAAGCCACAATATACATCAGTAGTATTTCGAGAGTCATTCTTTTTGCGGATATTTTGACAGGCATATTGTTACCTTCGGTAAATCTTCATTCTGCCGACTTTAGTCTTTCCTACCTTTTCGATCTAAGTTCAACTCCGTCACTCCAAACTCAGATATGATTCTAATCGAAAAAAAAAGGGTTATTTCACCTCCAGTTATTTGGGATACATTAAGGAACTTTGACAGGGGATCCATTTTTGGAACTTCTTAAATACTACTTAAATTTGTTGATGCTTGTTTATCAATGCCCCCTTCGATAACCAAAATGTGGAAAGCGTGACTATACCTTGAGCAGTCACGCAAGGAAGTTAGCGCGACAATCAAAACTATAAAGTGGAAAAATTAAACATTCGATACGAAGTTATCGGACATTCTACTATTAATGATACTAAGTATTATTTGAATGAATTGTATTAAACGCACCGAGACGGTTTTTATTTCCTGTGAGTCCCTTCAAACCATCAGATGAGAACTCTAGAGCGGTGTCTTGATATAATTTCTTTGCTGTCTCTACAGCGACTGTCCAAGGACCTGTTGCGATCTGAACTTGAAAGAGTTTGTTCATAACAGCAAATTTTTGACGCTTGCTCGTGGCTTTCTCTAGCAAGTATTCCCATATAATTGATGCGGTCGGCAGATTTTTACTCGTGAAATCCTGTGCTATTTTAAACAGACGAGGAAATGGCGTTGCTTCCGCTTTTACTTTCTCGAGGACATCTTTTTCAGCTGACGGTAACTTTAGTCGTAATTCGTCAAGTCCTTCTTTGGCAATATCTTGGTGTTCTGGCGCTAGATATTCCATTATAGAGCCGATTGACTCTTAACTGTGATCACAGCCAAAAAGATTGGCAAAATTCTGTCAGAACAATCAGCAAATAACGCCCACAATCGGCGAAAGGGAAATTCACTAGGAATTGTGGGATGCACAGTTACACGCGAGGAGTCTGGAAATAGCAATCAAATCCAAAATGGCGAACCGCACGGTGTCTGATGCGAAAACCGTCAAAGGAACTAATCCACAGTATCTTATCGAGAAAATAGTTCGTTCACGTATTTATGAGAATAAATATTGGAAGGAGCAATGTTTTGCGCTTTCAGGTAAGTCTTGTCTCTAACATGAGCAGATTTGACTCAAATATTAATCTCTGGTATCCAAATTTGTTGGAGTTTGTAGCAGTGTAAACTTCATTTGTTTGAATCCACAACTATGCAAGTTCACCAGAGTGGTCAATATCTATGTATAGAAAGGTACCGTGATAATATATAGGAGCACTAAAGTGTTGAAATTCTTCCTGAAATCAGATAGAAAATTGGGTAATATGAGATGAGAAATTGGACAATCGAGCGCTGAGTGCAAGTAGAGGGTATTTTTACATGCATGTTTTAAAAAACTGAAACCATCCATCATTTGGTCATGCTTTGTTTCCTAATTCTGTATCAAGCCTTCGTTCGAGAAAAGCAAAGACAGGTCAGGACTTTAATGAGACATTGATCCAAGCTGAATCTATTAATCTAACATATTTTTATTTCACAGTTTGAATACTGTACCGTGAGATCTCAATGTTTTCCATGGTAAATTTTCTTGTCATCAGCATTTTTGTGCAGAAATGTTGTAGAGGAGTAAATTCTTAATATTGAATTATGAAGTTGACAGCAATGAGGACAAACACTTGGATCACAAAAAATGCTTTTTTTAAGTTGGAACCCCCCTTACCTAAAATCTTATTGAAAGCACTTTGTTAAACAAATCCAGCTCTTTGAAACATTCAAAAAGAAAGTATAAAATCATATTATAATCAATGTTTTTCTATATGGGGTTGTCACTCTGACCATTTAAGGTCCTGAATGTCTGGTTAAAACACACATGTACCTCAGGCCTTTGAAATTGAAGTTGAGAACTTGGTGAAACAGTTGGAATTTTCTAATCTCCAGTCCCTAATGAACTCACTGGTTACTTTTCCGTCTTTTCATCAGCTGAATTGTTGGTGGACAAGGCTATGGAGTTGGATCATGTTGGTGGTACATTTGGTGGGAATATTAAACCAACACCATTTCTGTGTTTGGTGTTAAAAATGCTACAAATTCAGCCAGAAAAGGAAATTGTTGTGGAGTTTATCAAAAATGAAGATTACAAGTAAGTCAGAATTCAAGATGAATTGATGACAAAGGCCTGAACCACAAGTTACCTATTTAAAGTATCTGTTCTCATCTCAACTAAAACTAAAGGAAATATTCTTGTCCACAGTAGGGTTTTTGGTTCTGTCTTCACCTGTGTAAAATTTTGTGATGCATTTTTGCCCATCATCTTCACTAAGGCCTCATGTTTGATTTAAAGGGGTTAGTTTCTTAAGAAACTGGTTCTGTACATGTGTTTTAAAAGAAAATGTAGTTTTATCAGCTGAGTCGATGATATGAGTAGAAAAGTAGAAAGTTTTTAGCCCTTTAACTCCCATGAGTGACCAAGACAGAATTTCACCCTACAGTGTCAATACAATATCAAGCAGACAAGTGACGAGAATTAAGAAAAATATTAATTAGGGAATTATTGGTTGATCCAATACCAAATTCTCCAGATTAACATCACAAGAACTAAATGGCAGACAGTAAGGAGAATTACTAAAGAGATCTTGGGAGTTAAAGGGTTAAAGCAGTTGTTTTGATCGTCAGTCCTTAGTCATTTGCACTTACTGACAAAGGGCTAACACTAGAGATGTCAGCTTTAGAAACTTTTTATTTTGGGCAATGAATGTTTTAAACTCAGTTTATAAAACTAAATTATCTTATTTTTAATTGTCACTTTTGGTGGGTGTGGAGTGCTTGATTGGTGAAAAAACATGACAAATTATACATTTTACAAATTTATGAAAATGGGAATTAGCATGGATGAGACCCAAGAAGTAACAATCCTTAGCAAATTTTTGTTAAAGACATTTTTTTTTTTTAAATTTAGTACGTAATTGTTTTAAAATTTTTTATTTTGGAGGCATTCAAGTTATATTTATACCAACAACATCTAGGTATGTACGAGCACTAGGGGCCATATACATGAGACTTGTAGGGACGTCACTTGATTGCTACAATTACCTGGAACCTTTGTACAATGACTACAGAAAGATCAGAAGGAAAAACAAGATGGGCAGTAAGTTTTCTGGCTTGTTGCTTTCACTGGTTTTGTATTTGAATAAATTATTTTTTTAATGGAAGTACTAATAAATACCATTCTCAGGACTGGTATGTACATGTACTTAAACAAACCCCTATCAATGCATTGCACTGTAAAATTTTAGGTATACTTGTCCATGTGCTAACCATTCAGTATTTTTATGAGCTGAAAATGAAGGATATTAACCATTTAGCCCCCTATGAGTGGCCAAGAAGGAATTCCTCCTTACAATATCAATACAATGTCAATACAATGTAAGGTGACCAGTGATGAAAAATGGCAATTAGGGGATCATTAGTTGATCCAATACCAAAGTCTCCAAACTAACATGCCAAAATCGTGTGGCAGACAGTAAGGAGAATTCCATAGGAGTGAGGAGGTGACAATTAGTGCAAATCCAGGATTAAAAGGTAACATTTGTTTGAATTTTTCTTACGTTTTATGGAATGATATTCTCTTTGTGCAGAAATGGAGCTTTCCCACATGGATGAGTTCATTGATGAATTACTCAGAGAGGACAGGGCATGTGATGTTATTCTGCCTCGCATTCAGGTGAGACCATTTTTTTGTAAAGAAAAATTAATATACCATCATGTGAATTATATAAGAGAAAAATAGATGGCAGAAAATGAATTTAATGATTGACGTCTCACTGTTACCTCAAATGTGTATGCTGCAATCTTGAGCATTTTTTAAGGAAATAACTGACAGCTCAAGGCAAAAGAGTCATTTGTTTTTTTCTTTTAATTTAAAATATATTCCAAATTTATTGAATATTGTTACCAACTCTTATTTCAATGAACAAACATGGTTCTGAACTTTATTTTGCTAGGTTTGCATTCTTTTTTGCTAGGGGCAAAATTCTCTACTCTCCTTGCGGCTGTCTTTGATTCATAAGAAACTAAAAACTATGTTTCTCATGTTCATGAAACCAAGGCCAGTTTACAATTAGCAAACAAAGGTTTGCACATTGTTTGCCAACTTAAACTAAGCATTGTGCTAAAATTCAGTGACTTCGGAGCTCAGTTAAAAGTGACTTACGAAATTGAGGGGATGTTTCTTCTCAAGGCTTTTTATTTTTTCATCACTTTTAGCTTGATTTTTTCCTTTGTTTTATAGGCAATTAAGTTATGATAATTTTATAATTTCAATCCATTTTCAGAAACGCCAAGTGTTGGAAAACACCAATCAACTTGAACCAAGGGTAAGAAAAACAACAGTCCATTATACATTGCTGATAGACA